ATTAATGGCGGGATCCACTGCCACCTAATTAGTGAGAGCACTAATTAATGCTCCCAAGCATTTTTCAAACTCTTAACAAATAAACTTTCAATCTACATGGAACTAATACTTTATAATTATGATATACTAAGCCCTCATTTGGGAATTACTTTTTTTAATTTAAAAGTTAAAAAATTATTAAAAAAATTAAAAAATCAATAATTTATACTAAAAAATTAAAAATTCTCTTTTCTCTCTACTTTTTGCACGTCTTTTCGTAAAAAGTTAAAAAGTCATCTCAAACATACTAGTTTTTTTTTACTTTATATTTTAGCCAAATAACCAAAAATTACTAAATTAACCTATTCCCAAACGAGGCCTAAGCTTTATAATTATGGATGGTTGTTTTTATTTTTATTAAATTAGTTTTTATTTTTAGGGTTTTTTTTTTAAGGTCCCTGGTATTATGATTTTATAGTATAAAGGACATCAAATATTTTTATAATGTCTAAGGTCTCTCAACAATATTTTCATAATGTCTAAGGTCCCTCAACCTTGATCCAGAGAAATTTCAGTCCAGAGAAATTTCAGTCCAGAGAAATTTCAGTCCAGAGAAAATTGGTCCAGAGAAATTTGGTCCAGAGAAATTTCAGTGCAGAGAAAATTGGTCAGAGAAATTCTGGCCCAGAGAAATTTCTCTGGACCAAATTTCTCTGGATGAGTTTCTCTACTTTTCTTCTCATTCACATCCAAATCATTGTGATTCATTGGGTAAGCAACATTGTTCATCAACTGGAAAAATTCCACATTGTAATATGTAAGCAACATTAGAATTTTGAATCCCATATTCTATTGTCCATTTCTCTACCCTAGACATTATGGAATATGTAAGCAACATTAGAATTTTGAAGGGTTGCTATCAAAATTCTGTTTGCTAATCCTAGTGCTCTTTGTATATCAAGTCCAACAAGATGATGTGGTTGTCAGTAAGATCTTGCCATACCTTAGCATAGACAAGAAAGAGAAGAAGTCATTCCCTAGACTTCCAGAGAAAATTCAACTTCAAAGATAAAATTAGTCCAAAGAAATTCTGGGAAGAATTTCTCTGGACTTTCTAATTTCTCTAACATTCCCTAAAATTCCCACTGTAAATTTCTCTGGCCTTCCATTCTCTCCAGAGAAATTTCTCTTCTCTCCAGAGAAATTGTAATGTGCTTCATCTTGTTTGAATATGCTATATTGTTGATATTGATTCAGAATTTCTACAATTGTTTGGGAAATTCCTATCATTTTCTTTGAATGAATTCAATAAATTTTTCTTGTACTTATCTACAAATTTTCCAGGGTATATCTATCCTTGCCTAATTCCAAATTTCTCTGGACTTCTTTTCAAATTTATCTGGACTTCTCACTGTCCAGAGAAATTCTCGCCAAATTTCTCTGGACTTCTCTCCAAATTTCTCTGGACTTCCCACTGTCCAGAGAAATTCTCGCCAAATTTCTCTGGATTTCCCACTCTAATTTCTTTGGACAAAGTAAGTTCAAGTCTCATCTTAGCCTAAACTCTCTCTCACTCTCTAATATTTTTTCTTTGGATATATGGTTGTAGAAGAAGCTTCTGATTCTCCAAATTTCTCATAGCCATTATTGGTCATTCAAAATCAAAGAATTTCTCTAGTTACCTACTAGGAAATATTTCTTGGTTATCTAAACTTCTTTATTATTGGTCATTCAAAATCAAACCAAACCAGAGAAATTTGGGCTACCTAGAAACAAAAAAACAATCATAATTTTCTCTGTGTTTTGAACAAACTAGAGAAAATTTTAATTGTTTTTCTCTATGATTATTTTTCTAAGAAACATTTTATCAAATCAATCAATCGATCAATCTCTCACCAAACTCACAAAAAATAATCTATGAAATCAGAACAAATCTGAAAAAACAACATAATAATCTAGTGAAACAAGAAGAAATCCGGGAAAAACTCGAATTTCCCTAGTTTTGTTTTTGGGGATGTTCAAGTATTTATTGTTTAGAAGGAACCACTAAAGAACAAGAGAGCAGTGAGGAACTCCTAACCCCAGCAATAGAACCCAGAAACGAACTCGAGAGTGCGCCAGATCTGTGATAGAATGCTTCACTTTGTGTAGATATCTTATATCACACATTCCCATATTTCATTGTGAATTCGCAGAATCATAGTTGCAAAAGTGGCAGTATTTGAGTTGTCTGAAATTGTTGGGTCCTCAGTGTAGCCATCACATTGTCCAACAACAACCTCAAAATGAACTTGAGATTATGAAAAAGCAGGGGAGACTCGATGGCCACCACAGAGAGAGAGAGATGAAGCAGGTTTTGGAAAATTTTAGAAGCAGAGTGTTTATAATAATGGGGGAGAAAGAAAGAAGGTTGAGTTTCGGGAGGGGTAGAAGAGAGTAGCGAGATTCCGACGGTGGTGGTGGTGGTGAGAGTGGTGTGAGATGGGTGAGTTTAGGAGTGGGAATGGGGTGAGGGACCTTAGACTACAAAAGAACAGATTGTGGACCTAATCTATTACTAAAAGTTGGATAGAGATCTTAGACCGATTTTCCCTTTATTTTTTCAAAAGTCAAATATGGCGATAATTTTAATATTATTATTAAACCAATCCATTAAATTCAAAAAATTCAAAACTAAAAATATTTTATATATTAAGTATATCAATTACACATTAAACCCTAACAACCACTTGTTACATGATTATCATCTAAACACATAATAAAAATTAATTTGGTAAAAAAAAAATGTGTAAAAGATTTATCAATTTTACATAATTTCATCTTTGGTGGGTAGAAATAATTTTTAAAAATTCAAAAATAATTTTTTGACATTTATTTTTGTCAAATTAGTTTATATTTTATCAAATTGATGACTTTGTCCTTGAAATTGAGCAATGATATTTTCAATTGTTCTTATTTGGAATAAAATTCAAAATTCAGGATCAAATGTGTCTTAATTGAAAAGTCAGAAATCAAAGTGACACAAATCCTTAACCATAGGGACTATTAGTATAATTCGCCTTTTATTATATTAAATATTATATTTTTGAGTAATAATATTCATCTTTTTTGTTTGATAAAAAAAGTAGAATATAAAATACACCTATCAATCTTCCACAAAAAAGTTTTAATCTCCGTTTGGCAAGAAAAAGCCTAGGCTTTTTTGGCTAAAATAGCCACAAAAAACAAAATAGGCTATTTTAGCCACAAAAAACAAAACATCAAATCCAACCCATAATCATTACAATCCTCTCTCACAAAAAAAGCCAAAAAAGTCAAAAAGCCAAAAAGTCCTTCCCAAACCAGGCTAAAATAGCCAAAAAACCAAAAAGCCAAAAAGCCAACCCACTTCCCAAACGGAGGCTAAGTGACAAAAACTTACTTGTACATATATCCTGAATTTTAGATGTTTGATTTGAAAAAAAAAAACAAAAACAAAAACGAAAACAAAAACAAAAAGAAGACAAGAATGTAATCAATGTTTAATTTTGTTTTATTTTTGTTCTAATAATAAGTGACGAGAAACTCATACATGGTGCTGTTTTGTGTAATTAGTTGTATGTTACAAGCTGATAATTCAAAACTAGAAATCAAAAGCACCATTAACTTAATTTTTAGAAATTAATTTTTTAAACTTATTTAAGTTATTTCTATTTAATAAATTATAATATAGAAGTTATACTAAATAATTGGGAGATTTACCAATAAATTCCAAAAATTGATCTTATAATCCAGTTGGTCCCATTTGTATTCTTATATTCCGTTTGGTCCTATCGTTTGTGAAAGGATGTATTTGCCATTAACGCACTTATTAATCTATGCGTTACAGCTGTATGTGAGTGAATGAGGTGTAGGCGCGTGGGGCACACGAGGTGTAAGATGTAAAGAGCCACTTGACTTGTGTCACGCGACACATATTGGAGTGACACACAACAGTAAAGCGTACTAAGGTCTTTTGTATTCAAAGTGTGGATTTGGTAGGTTCCACATGTCACATAGTTTGTTAACCCATACACACCAAACAGTACCCGATTTGTACCTCCACAACAAGCCCTGCAGTTAAAAAAATAAATAAATAATTACAATCACCATATCGTTACAGACCCAGCCTCACACCAACACATTGTATTATATTTTTATGTGGTCCCAAACCCTTATTGGCCCTTTTATGCTACTTCATTCGACACACACTTGTCAAACACACAACCACAAACACTAATAACACATTCCCACACACACCCCCCAATTTCCACTACCACAATGACCTAAAGTAATGTTGGTCCACCCACAATCAACAACTACACAACGACCGTATCATTTAGAACACCCAAAAGTAATCTCCAACATCTCTAAACACGGAAGTGATCCCGCAATACTCGTTCCAATCAAACAAAAAAAAGAGTACAATCGTTCTGTAAATCACGCCAAACATGGAAAATATGACCACATGGGCACAAATCTCTCCACCAGCAGAACTAAACAGAACAAAAGTATAAAATTGAGACTGATTGGTTTAATAGTTTGTGAGATAGGATTTATTGGTAAATATTCCTAAATGGTTCACACAAACTCTCAAAATAAAAAAATTATAACTAACTCAAATAAGTTATACCAAACAACTATTATGTAATCTAGGTTGTTTGGGATAATCTAAATAACTGCACTTTTTACAAAAAGATGTGCAGAAAAGTAGAGAGGTAATATAATCCAAAAAATATAAAAAAATTAAAAGTATGCTTATATAGCACACCTTGAACAAGCTCTAAATTTTTTTAAATTGAATTTGAGCAATTAATTATAACCATTTATAACTAATAGAGAAATGATGAATTTGGGTTATGACCAAAATTATAATTTTACCTTACGAGTTTCAATTCTCTCAAGTTAACCATTTATAACTAATCCTTTCTTTCGCGGTAAATTATGTGTCCGAATATGCTCAAGCTCAAGATCGTGGCCATCTTCCTCCGGCCCAGGTTCGGATGCGAAGGTGGGTTGCGCCACGCGAGGGTATCTTCAAATTGAATTTTGATGGCTCTGTTCGGAAGGCCTATGCCAGTGCTGGGGTTGGCATTATTATTCGGGACTGTCATGGGGAAGTCATTGCGTCTATGGTTGAGCGGCTACAGTATATGGAGGACGTTGATTGTGTGGAAGCTATGGGAGCGATAAAAGCCCTTCAATTGGCTTGTGATTTGGGCTTGGGCCATATTCATCTGGAAGGTGACTCTCAAAATGTGGTGGCTGCAATTCAAGGTAAGGCGGATAACCTCTCTTGCTATGGTCATTTTGTGGGGGTGGCTCAAGCGCTCCTTTTGCGGTTTCTTTCTTCATCGGTTTCGCATGTTTGTCGGGATGGCAATTCGGTGGCTCATTGTTTAAGTAGGTTAGCCTTTGATTTTGAGACGCCACGTATTTGGATGGATAACCATTTATAACTAATAGAGAAATGATGAATTTGGGTTATGACCAAAATTATAATTTTACCTTACGAGTTTCAATTCTCTCAAGTTAATCCTTTCAATTTAAGAGAGTCTTTGAAATTGCTGGGCCCAACTTCAATATTTCCAACTATTCACTTTTTAATATTTATTGAGTTGAATATTATATAAAAAAATTAAAATGGTCAGATATTGGTACATATATGTTTGAATTATATTTATATTATAAAAAATAGATACCTACTCTTAAAATTATAATTGTGGTATATTTTTTATAAACAAATGTAATTAAAGTATATAGTTATCAATATTCGATCATTTTCATTTTTTGCATAAATATTCTATTCAACAAATTGTAAAATGTTAACAATTTAAATACTAAAATCAACTCGTAAAGCCCAAACACTACCTTATAACTCTAAATCATAATCACTCTATGCTGCCTTAATCCATAACCAAGATGTGAGAACGTAATTTTTTTTCTTGATTAATATGACAGCGTAATTAAGCTGAAGAATTTCAATCATTACACTGGTGACATTATTTTATTGAGTAATTGTGATGTCCTGGGATCCTAGATTTGACCAGTATTGCGCAATCAGATGGTTTGTTTTACTTTTGACGTTTTGATTATCATATTGAGTTGTTAATATTTCAATTCCGCTCTTACTTAAGATCTCTTAACGTTTCTAGTTTAAAATTTTGAATTTTGGGCATTAGAACTTGTATTGGGTCATGGAAACAAATTTTGGATTTAGCTAGCAAAATTGCTCGTGCTGAATCACTTAGGGAACTTGAATATTTCTAGGTAGAAAATCATTGGTGCGGATTTGGTAGGAATCTTGGGTTCTTCTCTAGCTCAAACTGCTCGTGAGGGGTGTGTAAATTCGCTCGTGCAGATTTAGATTTCCGCTCATGCGGAATTTGAAACCGCCCGTGTAGATTTTTGCGTGTCTCTCTCGAATTTTAAGCCATTTTCCTCAAATCTGATACCAAAAACATGTTGTACTCATTTTTTCATCTCTCTCTCTATTCATCTTTTCTTCTCCATCTCTCTACAAACCCATCTAAACTCAAATTTCTCTCTAAAATTTAGCAAAAACTATCAAGATTTTGATAGAGGTTCTTATACCAAATCGAAGAGGGCGACGAGGGTTATGTTTTCACCGATCGAATCAAGATTTCATCGATGTTGAATTTTAAGGTTTTCCCCTCTTTCCTCTCCTAAGCTTGAGGTAGGGACTTTTTTAGAGTTATATATATTCTTTTGCAAGTCTTTGCTTGTTTGAAACCTTTCTTATATTTTGAACTATGATTTTGGGTTCATGAGTTCTAGATGATTTTAAAATTGAATTTTCTCTATACTTCTCCAAACTTTTAAGAGTATGAGTTATGTTGTTAAGTATGAGTGTTGTTTTGGAAAAATTCTTTCCAAAAATAAGATAAATTTAGTTTTATGGAAACCCTAGAAATTTGGAGATTTTGGAAAAAATGTTGAGATTTTATGGAATTCATGCTTGATAAATTATTATGGTGAATAAATGATGGAGGGATTACTATATTTGTATATAATAAGGGATTCCATGGAAAAATGAAAAATGATTGATTTTGAAACTTGATGAATACAATATTATTGGTTTGTCTTGAAAAAACCAAGTTTGAAACTGATGATTAACATGTGGAGAATGTATGTAATATAATATTGTTATTTATCTCTCAGAAGACATATTGTGAAATTACATTGAGAAGAGATGTGTAAATTTAATCACAATGGAAGATTGTGTGGTGGAATTGAAAATTGAACTATTATAATGCATTGTTACATGTTGCATTGTCATTTCATTTAATCTTCATTATCATTGATTTCGAATTTGCATTTGAAAATTATTACTTTGAGAAAGGAATTGTTTTGGGATAAATACGTTGGTAAGTCCGGGAGGGGGTGTAGTTTGGTATTCGTTAAGTTGGCCTGAGTGTTTATGGTGAAAGGCTAAAAATATGCGCAGAGGAGGTACCACGTGCCTTCCGGTTAGAAACTAGTAAAGTGATGATTGGTAGTGCTTGATATGCCTACTTGTATATACCAATCTAGGGATTACTTGTGTCGTATTTACCACCCCTTGAATTATATTGATATTATTGAATTGTTGTGTTTTTAAATTAGCATTGTGCACAAGATTTTCAAAAGATAAAGAAATATACGTTGAGCATGACATGGCATGTGCATTTATCTCAAGAGACTGTATAAAATGTATATACTTTGTTAAGATCTTCTTATTGGGTTTTGTGCTCGCCCTAGTGGATTTCTGCAGGAAATGATGTGGTGATTCTGCTGAGTTAAAGGCGTGGAGTGTATTTTAAGGGCACATGGCTCTTCTCTTTTGTTGTTATTTTGACAAGTCGAGGGTTTTATATGTATGAGTTTAAATTGTATTCGACTTGTAGTGCCACATGCTATGATTCATATTATAAGAAATGTTGAATGTATAATTACATGTGAAATATTTTTGTTAATCTCTAGAGTATAATGAATTCAAATTTTAAAGATTTGATAATGATGTTAATGATGAGGGATTATATTTCATATACATACATACAATGAAAGTTATTAAGTTTGGAGTAAAATCTTGCTGATGGAGTAAATTTGAATTTTTCTTCCGTTAATAAATTTGGGGGCGTTACAGTAATGACAAGACATTGTATTGGATTTGTTAAATTAATAATGGAGATATTACGTATCAGTGCATTTCTATAAAGTTTCAGATTTTTATCTAGTCCGAAATTGGATTGAAGCATTTTTTATAACTCGACGAATTTTACATATTGAATGATTTGAATTGTTGATGTGAATTCCGTGTAAATCTACAGAAACCCAACTGGAAAGAAGCTGATTCATTCTACAAAAATAATTACATATCAATCAAATTTTTTTATCAACATTAATAATTAAAGTTATAAGTAAGTTTTTTAAAAATCTCTAACTATTTTTTACACAAAATTGTATTATAATTCTCCATTTATCAGTGCATTTCTATAAAGTTTTAGATTTTTATCTAGTCCAAAATTGGATTTAAGCATATTACTAGGCTCTGCGGTCTACCATGGAGTCTACATTAATAATTTAAGCCGTTTAATATTTAGATCTCATCGAGTATTTTATTTCTATAAAAAATTACATTTATTAAATATCGATAGTCACTTAATCAGATCACATTTGTGTGAATAATTTATTTTTAAAATCATAATTACCATTGACACAAATATGATCTGATTAAGTGACTATCGATATTTGATTAATGTGATTTTTTACGAAAATGAAATACTCGACGAGTTTTATACATTAATTGATTTGAATTATCGATGTAAGTTCCGTGATAAGTCTACAGAAACCCAACTGAAAACAAGCTGATTCATTCTACAAAAATAATTATAAATCAATTAAATTTTTTTATCAATATTAATAATTAAAGTTATAAGTAAGTTTTATAAAAATCTATGACTATTTATTTACACAAAACTGCATTATAATTCTCCACTAATAATTGCAAAGGACACGTGTTAGTATATTCTTGGTTGCTTTTAAAGGTGGATATCATCCCCAACCACTAAAGTTTTCACAACAGACACATGGCTGCTCTACAATCCTCCAGAAAGTTGGAGGGGGTGCTGTTGCACACGTGGGTTCATTTTAAGATTTCGTTTTGATTATTTAAATTATTTATATTTTATAATTTGTTTAATAATTTAAATTTTATAATTTGTTTAATATATTATTATTATAAAAAATTAAATCAATTATATAACAGTAATTATATATTTAAATTAATTTTATATAAAAAATAACTATAAAATTATAAATGATTCATATAAAATTTATTTGAATGCATGATTTTTATTATCTAATTAATTTAATTTTTTATAAAAATAAAATATTTAATAAATTTTAAAATTTAAATTATTAAAACAAAATGTTAAAATGAGTCGGTTGGACGGTCCAATCTGCTTATGGACCGGAGACCGTCCAATCCCCACACCATAAGAAAAATGTTTGGAAATTTTTAAAGAAGAATTTTAATAATTCTAATGTATGTATGGACCTATTGAAATGATATTTTGGCCAAATATTTTTTTATTTTTTTTATTTTTCACATTCAATTACGGTTCTAATTTTAGGGGATGAATCACCACAATCCTTCCAACAGAATATTCCATTCTCCACAGTCCCATTCTGTCTCAACTCACTCTCTCTCTCTCTCACTACAAATGCAGATTATGTATTCTATTGCTATTCAGTGATTGCTAGTTTCTGTGTGTATGTGTGTGTGAAAATGACGGACACAACAGACGACATAGCAGAGGAAATCTCGTTCCAGAGCTTCGAAGATGACTGTAGATTACTCGGCAGCCTCCTCAAAGACGTTATTCAAAGGGAAGCTGGTTTTCCTTTCATGGAAAAACTCGAGCGCAATCGAGTCCTCGCTCAGGTCTCTCTATCTTTTCTTCTTTTTCTTACTAGTCATTCATGCGCGCGCGCACACACAAACATATAAATTCAGATTTGTATGTATTGATGTATTGGATTCTGTTAGAACATTTTTAATCATCATTCCCTGTTTCTGGTTTCTTGTAGAATTGGGTTTCTCCGTTTTTTTCAATTGGGTTTTGTTATTTCATTTCTCATGAAAGGGGTGAAATTTGCTGATAAATAAATTGATTGTTGATAAAATATTTATAATACGAATATTGCCCCTTCAAATACAAGAAATGAAAATAAATCTTATTCATATCCCTCTCTTACATGATTTCCTTTCTTACCCATCCAAACATGATAATGAGAAAACACTATCATTTCTTTTCTTTTTTCATATAGGCAGTGGCCGAGTTTGATTCATGTGGCACCATTAATCCTTAGCAATATTAATTACAAAACTTAACTGAATTCTTTTTTCATTTGGTGATAGACTGACTAAAGATCAATGTGATGTTAAAATTATGTGCCTTATATATGTTTTAATTAACCGTTTTTTTTTTATTTGCTATTTTAGTTACTAAATATGATGATAATCACGATGCATACAAAAAAAAGAAAAAAGAAGAAGAAGAAGATACATGTGGAGAAAAACAAGAGAGAAATGAGAGAGATAGAAATAATTATAAGAGAATATTTTGATAAAATTAACCATTTATAGTGAATAATTATAAGATAATATTTTGATAAAATTAACCATTTATAGTGACAAATTGTAAGGAATATATTAAAAAGAAAGAGAAAACAAAGATGAGATATAAACATTTAGAAATATTTTTAAAAATTAAAAGGAAGTTTAATGAAAAACTTATTTTAATTAGAGGTAAAAGTATAATTTTTAAAAAAATGAGAGGAGGCATGTGCCCCTTGACCCTATGTAACTCCGTCCATGCATATAGGTGAGAGACCATAATCTTTTTCTTTTCTTTTCTCACCCTGTGATCCAAACATAAGACCAAAGCAGAGTGTCATGATACAAAATGGCTTATCAGAATATGATACTCCAAATTAATACATTCCCACACACACATGCATGTATGGCTACATGAGGAGCATCGTAGGAACTAGAATCGGAAGGTTGGAACAACATAGGAAAGTTTAGAATGAGTATATGCTTCGAGACAAACCCACAAAGCTCCTCCATCAAAATGCTCTCTCTGTATCTTCAAACAGTAAATATATAGTACATGAATGTGTGTCTGTGCATGAGTAGATAACCAGATTGAAAAATCAGTACACATCTCAGAAAAGAGTTCACTTTCTCACCATTTCTCACCCAACCTATGAACCAAACATGAGAAAAGAGTTCTCTTCCTCACCATTTCTTATCATTTCTCACCAAATCACCCCCATCCAAAGAAGCATTTCTTCATATCTCAATTGGGTTTTCTTGTTAACAATTCTTGAGGCAGGGGCGGCTCCAAGGCTTGGCCAGGGGTGTCACTAGAACCCCCTGGCTGAATTTTTATTATTATTATTATTATTATTATTATTATTATTATATAAATATTAGATTTTAGGAAAAAAATTAGTAATTGAACCCACTAAAATACAACTTTGAACCCATAATTTTAAATCCTACTATTTTGAACCCACTAGTTGATAGTGTTGATAATGAGCTTATCATGCAACGATTTCAAAATATGAAATCTTGTCGTGGTCAATTATAGAAGCTCGTGTATTAGCATGTCTTTTTGCTTAAATAATAGTATCAATATATTGAAATATTTTTGTTTATAATTTTAGAATTTAAATTAATTTGTTGATTTTTTTCTCCATATGTGATATAATGATTAATGTGAATTTTCTATAAGATATATGGTATTTAAGTTTTTGATTGACACCACTGATAAAAATTCCTGAAGTCGCCACTGCTGAGGTGTATGTTTTATAATTTTGTTATGTACACATGCTTGTGCATAGATTTGTAAATGAAGTCACTGAGAAATTTTGATGGGATTTTATTGGTTCAGAGTGCTTGTAACATGAGGCTGGCAGGGATAGAGGACACAGCTGAGCTGCTCGAGAAGCAACTCTCATCGGAAATGTCCAAAATGACATTGGAAGAAGCCCTGACTCTTGCTCGAGCTTTCAGTCATTATCTCACCTTGATGGGTATTGCTGAGACCCATCATAGGTAATTTGTACTCAACTTGTTTGAAATGCTAGCCCTATTAATCATTTTGTTTCCTATTGTCCCATCATAGGTAATTTGAACATACTTACCTTGTTTGAAATGCCATAGCCCTATATATCATTCTGTTTCTTATTTCAATGGTTGTCATTTTTGAGCAATAGGAATATACTTTTATACATAGTTTAATCTAAAACAAAGATATCTATGTTCATCCTTGCAACAATCGTGAATTGGTACTTACAATTCTGAATTTTTTCTAATAGTCATGGTTAATATATTTCATTCTTTAGTTGAAAAATGTTTATAGTGTTTCTGTTAATTTTTAACTTTTTTCCAGGTTAGCTGAATTTTGAATTGCTCTGTTGCTGAATGATATCTGAACAAAACTTGAAATTAGTTCTTATAAAATTTTGATCCATTTAGTGTTAAAAATAGCCAAATAGGAAACTTCCCAAAACTGTTTTCCAGGCTAACGTTCATTCATGCAGAGTACGTAAGACACGTAATGTGGCATACCTATCAAAATCTTGTGATGACATTTTCAATCAGCTGGTTCAAGGTGGAGTTCCCCCAGACGAGCTTTACAATACTGTCTGCAAGCAGGTTATTAATTTTCTTTCACTGACATTTCACATTTTTAGTGCAGTTATCTTATTTGGTTGTTTGATGTTGCCTATTGTGTTGGTAACGTTGGTTTCTTATTGCTGCAGGAGGTTGAGATTGTTCTGACTGCACATCCCACGCAAATCAATCGACGTACCTTGCAATATAAACACATTAGAATTGCGGTAACTTGTGTTCTTGAAATGTTCAGTTAACATGTAAAATTATTATTTATTTAAGTATCGTGTTATTGATTTGGCTTTGATTGTGAACCCGGGCTTTCCTCGCAGCATCTCTTGGAGTTTAATGACCGACCTGATCTTGGCCATGAAGATCGAGATATGCTGATAGAAGATCTGGTCCGTGTCTCTTAATAATAATGTTGAAAAATGATGTTATTTTGCTTTTAAATGTTTTCAATGGCCTATAATTCATTCTGGTATTTGTAGGTGAGAGAGATAACATCAATATGGCAAACAGATGAACTAAGACGCCACAAACCCACACCTGTAGATGAAGCTAAGGCTGGTAAACTACTTGAAATTTAAGACGTACTAAAGCTTTCAATGTATTTCTTTCTCTGAAAAGACTGTGTACATTATTCTCTTAGGCTTACACATTGTGGAGCAGTCCCTTTGGAAAGCTGTACCTCACTATTTACGTCGTGTCAGCAATGCTCTGAAGAAGGTTTGTTTTCAATCTGTACTTGCCATATCCTTTAACATATGCATTTATTTCATGGCTCTTCTTTTTCTATGACTTCTTTCTGCGTCTCTTTCTCTCAGCATACTGGGAGGCCACTTCCCTTGACATGCACACCGATTAAATTTGGAGCTTGGATGGGAGGTGACAGAGATGGAAATCCAAGTGTCACAGCAAAGGTTCTGCTTCTAGCAACGGTTCATATGTAAATTTGATTATTTGAACTTATATGAACAGAAATTTCCCCTGGAGTTGGGAAGAATTTAATTTGCTAAAGTAAATTCTGCAAATCCAAATATTTTTGTAAATTTGCTGGGTAGCATATCCATACGCTATCATAGTAATGTGATTCATGGAACAGCCAAAACTTGTTCTAGAAAAATGGAGTCTTGGTATTCTGGTCCATGAATGACGTGCTGCATTGACATTCTGGTCCAAGCCACATCATTCTATATATGATATTCAGTAGAATAATTCTGTTTGCATGCATTACTATTTCACCAAATACACACTTTTTTAAGGTGCCAAACATATGCCTTTAATATGAAGAGAGTACTCAATTTTCTTGATTTATTAGCCAATTTCATTGTTATCTGTTCTGACTGTACTAATGTCAACATTTTTGTGGAAGTATTTTTATTTTTATGTTGTGTAAGGTTCAATTATGTACTTAATCTCATTGAATAGTATAATCTTCTGCTGTTTCAGGTCACAAGAGATGTCTCTCTTTTATCCAGCTGGATGGCTATTGATCTCTACTTCCGGGAAGTTGATAATCTAAGATTTGAACTTTCCATGAACAGCTGCAGTGATAGATTGTCAAGACTAGTTCATGAAATTTTAGAAAGAGGTTGGTCATGTCCAAGTTCTATTCAAACTCCTCTCTTAAACAGCTTATGGATATTTCTATTCTTATTCCTTGTGTCTTTGTATTATGTTAACCGGTGACTTGTAACTGGCTTATGCTTCTATTTTTGGCTCTTCATGATGAACTTTTCTTGCTCACAATCAAATGAGGAACTGAAAATGAGAATCCAGTTGGCTGAGCGGTGAAATTGTTGATATATTGTATATATATGAATGTAAATACTGCATGCTAATTGTCTAACCCTACCATAATGTAATGTAACAATTCATGTATGTATGCATGAAGTTTTTGGCAAGGACATTTATTGTGTAATCTAACTGTGAGAATCATGAGCTTGGAATTGCCAATTGATATATATTTCAAAATTCATAGCATCTAAACCTTGTGAATTTAATATATGTGAAAACAAGCATTAGCAGAATACTGCCTCTTCATTTAGATCATGTACAGTTAACTAACAAATTTGTTTGCCATATGTTGCATAGATTTTGCTCTCACAAAAAAAAAAAAAAAAAGAAAAAAAAGAAAAAAAAAAAGAAGCATGGAGATTTAATATATATAGATAAAAAGATTTTTGCACTTACGAAAAAAAGGGTTGTGTGTTTTTAACATGAAGATTTAATATTTGAACAACCTTTTTATTTTTTGAGAATTTCAATGTTCCTTGTTTAACATGAAGATTTAATATTTGAACAACCTTTTTATTTTTTGAGAATTTCAATGTTCCTTGTTGGTGTCATTTGAAATAATTTTTAATATTCAAAATTCATAACAATAGTAATTAGACCATTTTCCTGTGCAAAAGTTTTGATGTTTTGTAAAATTTCACTTTGAACCTTGTTTGCCTGTTTATTCTCTTGTATCCCTCTGGAACACTTGTTTTCCTTTGCCTGTTTGCTTTATAATCTAAATCCCTAGATCTGAGTTCCTATGGATAAGGTGCTTATCTGTTCACTGACCATGTCCTTGAAAAAAGCACTGGCACATACCATCTTCACATTGAGTAAATTATGCCACATGGGTGGTGAACTGATATGGTTCAGATATATAGAGTGTTTCGTAGGTTACATTTTCTGTTTTAGAATATGTATGGCTAATGATTCTGAGGTGCAAATTGATATACGGTTGCATGAAGCTGTCCCTTCTGTAGAATGTATGAACTTGCTCTCAAATTTCATGAAGTTCCAAGTACTAAACTAGTTAGCTACTTATTGATTCCATATTAGCCTAAATTTATCTCCAAATTTATCTCCAGAAAATTCCGCTGAGGATCGGCATGAGAATTGGAACCAACCACAAAACTGGAATCAATTGAAGCATCATGACCAACAAGTGCCTTCACTCCCTACACAGCTACCAGATGGTGCTGGTCTGCCTTCTTGCACAGGTGAAAAGATATATTTTGGTATCTGCTCTCTATTTTTGGGTGGTGGTCTATTTTTTTCAGACATTTCTTATGCTTTCAATGTAAAATTCCATTCATTTTTTCTCTTTTTGTTTGTATCATTACGGAAACACCAATTGACTCTATGACTGACACATTACCATGGTATGTCATGAATAGAAGCCCATTTCACTTCAACTATATACTTGTTGCCTCGATGCTTTTAAAATTCACATTCCTTTTTCTTCATTGAAGTCACCACTCAAGTGCTCATTGAGCCATCTACATACGGTGGCTACTGGAAACTCAATTTTGTGCTTGGGTAAGGTCGCTGCTAGAGTGCTTGGCCTGTTTTCCCTCTGTTGCACTTTGTTTAAGGCCTCCAAACACTTCTACAACTCAAAGAACAATTTAAACAGAGCCTTATCTAAGGAAATTAGCCATTCCTAAATGGCATTGACAATTGGAATTTGTGATTCATGATTACAATGACAAGTTTTGAAAACTTGACTCGGTTTGTATCTACAACATTATTAATTTTTTTTTTGATAATATAACTTTCTTGTTAAATGGTGCCAACTAAAAGGGATTTGACCCTCTACACAGGTCATGTAAGTATCTACAATATACTCAACTCAACTCAGCAAGCTCTTGTGTCAATTACACGGGGTTGATTATATGGATCCATTTCCTCCCATTGGTTTTATTTGCTGTTAGCCTGTCATATCTTTAGTTAAGTTTAAGATAGTTTTATCTTTTCTTATTACTTCTGCCTAGTTTTCTAAGCCTTCTTTTATTTCTTTTACTATCCTCGATGTAGATCAAATCACTCCTCACAGGCAGGCACATTAGTTGGTCTACGATGCACATAATCATTCCTCCTTAAAGAATCTCACTTGTTATCTTGTATTTTGTTGTAAATTGTTCATCCATATCACTCGTCTCACTTCCACAACACTCATTTTTTGAACATGTATTTTTCTCAACTGTCTAACATTCAGTACCATACATCATAGAAGGTCTGGTCTTATAGTAGTCTTATAACATTTTCCCTTTAAATTTAATTTAAACCCTACGATCACACATCACTCTTTATGCATTCCTCCATTTCATCCATCCAACCCTAATTCTATGGCTCATGCCCTTCTTAAATTCTCCATATTTTATGAATAATTGACCCCAGATATCTATGACATATATGCTAAAACACGAGAGTCTCATTGACTGCGATAATTTTAAAAATAATTTTCATTTTCTTTTGGGGTTTCATACATTAAAGCTGATGTGAATCATTTGTTTGATTTTCTTTTTCAATGACTGGCTGTCACAATGATTTTTGTTGTTGGTTTATCTCTGCTACTGTCAAAGATCTCTCTGCAACTCATTACTTCTGCCCAATGTCTAACAAAGTTTTAATATTTGTGGCTATTATTTCAATTATCTCAAAACATTTGACATCTGAGAATTTCTTATTTTTTGTTTTGAATTCTTGGCACGTGTTCCAATATTTTTTATGGCTTCTTTCAATTGTGTTCATGTCTAAAATTGATGCCCAAACAGGGATTCTTTTTGTTTACATTGGTTTGAGTTTAAGTAGGCTTAGGGCCTGCTTTGCTAATGCTTTGGCGTTCCAGTTTCTAAACACGTTTCACCAATAATGTGCTGTCATGTTAAACAAGCGCCCTTTATTTCTCATGTTTCGGTTAATGTTTGTTTAAATTGGCATGTTATAGAGATGCCTACCAATATGAAAAATCATTTCTGATTCCTTTGTAAATTTGTGTTCATGTAGAATGCCAGGATGGGGAATCTCAGTATCCTAGAACAGTACTTCCTGGGACAAATTACGTGCTATTGAATCATCAGGTGAGGCAAGTTATATGACGTTTTCACCAAGTAGATGGTTCTTGTAATATTCCTATGATACCAATCAACATCTATTTGGTTTTTTTAATTTATTTTATTTGCTAACGGGAGCCTCGTGCAGTGGGAAATTATTTTAATTTGTTTTGTTATTATTATTATTATTATTATTTTTGCAGGCTGGCCATGGTACTTCAAGATCAGGCTCTTCATTCCACGATTCAAATCACAGCTTGCATAAAAAATTTGTAGATGGAAATATAGCCAATTCTAATAACTCTCCTGCTGTGTCCCCACGTTCTGCCTCTTTCAGCTCTAGTCAACTCGCTCAAAAAAAACTATTTGGCGAATCTCAGATAGGAAGGACCAGCTTCGAGAAGCTTCTAGAGCCAAGCATGCCTCAACAACCTACAATGGCCCCTTACAGAATTGTTCTTGGGCATGTAAAAGACACGGTATTCCTTTTTCTATTTGACCAGTGACAATATTTGTTGATGCCGGATGGCCGACATATATATATCTATAAAAAAAAGAAAAGAAAAAGTTCTCAATCAATTCTATTCAATATCCAAAAGTCTCTTCAATTAAACATAAGTCCAATATTTATAGATCAACTAAAAATATAAATTAGGAAAAGATAAACCCTCAAAATAATAAGCTCCAAAAATTACTTAATATTAATGCATGTATAGAATATGATAGTGGTGTTGGTGGTAGATAGTGGCATGTATAACATCAACATATCAATCAATAATACATCAATTCTTACATATTCCTTTTTCCTCATATTTTCGGAGTTCTTCTTCCTCATATTTTCATATTTTCTAAGTATTAATTCCCTCAATAAAAATGCCCTACAAGTTTTGATTCTTCCAGGATCACCTCACGTAAGTGTGATGAATAATGGGTCCCCTCATGTGATTCCCATCACTTGTATAATTACAATTGTGGATGTTGAAGCTTCTATTAATACTTTCACATCTTTTGCTGCTTTACAGTAGTAAGCACACTTGCCTGTGACTAGCATTATGTAGAAACCTTGTTATTTTTATTTTTTGTTTTTTAAAAGGAAACTGCCATCAGATACTTCAGTCTATACCTTGCGTTATTAGCGTTGCTGCCTCACGATGATGGTCTCACTTGGGTGAGCCTCCAACGATAAATGTTACCTGTGTCCTGCAAGATTCTCTTGCTTTGGTCTCATTTAGGATAAAATCATTCATAAGGCTGTTTGGATCATAGATTTGGGTAGGGATTTGGAAAGAGAAAGGAAAAAGGTGAGGACACTGTGAATGTAATATAAGCTAAATTTTCTCCATTTCCTTTTCCCTATCCAAATCCATGATAAGCACTGATGCCTTGGGGATGAACATGAGTAATGTGTCTCCTCATATGAAGTGCTTGAATTGCTGTGGTGTTATTATTGCTTTAATTAATTCCCTTCTGTCATAGCATGAAGTCAATGTGTGTATTTGCCTTGCGAGTTCAGCTTGTAAAGACAAGGAAGCGGTTAGAGCTTCTTCTTGAGGACCTCCCTTGTGAATACGATCCTTGGGATTATTATGAAACATCAGATCAACTTTTGGAACCGCTACTTCTCTGTTATGAGTCTCTGGTATGAAATCAACTATTTCTATCCACACACTTGCACACAAAGAGAATAAAAGACCATAATTTTTGTTGTGATTTATTACACATTTATAATAGAATTATTGATGTTTGCAGCAATCATGTGGATCTGGAGTGCTGGCTGATGGTCGGCTTGCTGACTTAATCCGACGAGTGGTTACTTTTGGGATGAATTTAATGAAGCTTGACTTGCGTCAGGTGTGTTTCGTTTTTGATTCTTGTTTGCAGCAATGTGGTTGATTTGTTTGACTTAATTTTCCTAAGGATGAATTACATTAACGGTCCCTATAGTTTGGGGCTTGTGTTATTTTGGTCCCTGACTTTTCAATTGTGATACATTTGACTCTGAATTTTGGATCTTGTTCCAAATAAGGACAATTGAAGATACTATTGGATTTTTCAAGGGAAAAATCGTCAATTTAATAAAATAAAAATTAATTTGATAAAAATAAATGTCAAAAAATTATTTTTGAATTTTAAAAAATTACATCTACCTACTAAAGATAAAATTATATAAAATTGATAAATCTTTTAGACATTTATTTATTTTTTACTAAATTAATTTTTATCATGTATTTCAATGATGACCATGTAAAATTAATTTTTAAAAATTAATCATGTAATTTTTATTAATTTTGATCAATTTTACATAATTTTATTTTTGGTCGGTAGAAATAATTTTTAAAAATTTTGAAATATTTTTTTGACATTTAGTTTTGTCAAATTAGTTTATATTTTATCAAATTGACGATTTTGCCCTTGAAATTAAGCAATGGTATGTTCAATTGTCCTTATTTGAAACAAGATTCAAAATTCAGGATCAAATGTGTCACAATTGAAAAGTCAGGGATTACAGTGACACAAGTCCCAAACTATAGGGACTATTAGTGTAATTTTCCCTTTTCCTAATGTACAGGAAGCTGGTAGACACTCTGATACGCTCGATGCAATTACCAAATACTTGGATATGGGTACATATAGTGAGTGGGATGAAGAAAAAAGGCTGGTGTTCTTGACGAGAGAGCTAAAAGGGAAGCGGCCTCTAGTTCCTCCAACTATAGAGGTAAGTTCAGCATTTGATATAAGCATTTAAAAGATTAGTGACTTTGATGTGTAGTGATCTCCTTTTTGAGGTGATTAGACATTGGTTTAATTTTTTCTTTAGAAAGAAAATGATAATAACAATGGTAGGGTTTTAGATCTTACAAATAATCCATCTCTCCCTGTAATGAGCCACACCCCTGTTTCTTTATTTATTTAAAAATAGGGGTACTTACGTGTAGGTCTTAATAAGTAGACTTATTGTCTACTAGGTCCTATGAGAAAAATTTCTCATAAAAAAAGGTCAATTGTAAGTTTTAGCAACAATTTATAAAAATCATAACAAAAAAAGTCACTAATTGTCAATTTTTAGCGACATGTATAAAAAATTGTAACAAAAAAAATATTTTTAGCGACAATTTTATCAAGACTTATTTTCAATAGGACTTGATGGGAATTAAGTCAAATTATTAGGACCTATTAGTAGTTTACCCTAAAAAATAAGTTCTTAATGTTGTAGGAATTCATATAATGTTATCTAGCTATCCATCCTCGTAATAATTTTCTTTTGAAACATGGGAAGTAGTTTATTTTGACAATTGTCTTAATCTCAAGTGATAATAATATTACATGGACACTTTAAAACTTTGGAGGGACATGCTGTGGACACAACAAAGCACACACGTGTTTAGGATAAGTCTGCGTGAGTATTGTGGTGCACATTTCAGCCAGTGTCAGACTATAGAGAAGAGGCAGCAAAGAACAGATTTCTAACTTCAGTAGAAGTGTCCCAGAATACCTTCAAAATCTGTTTCTTTATGTCATGTTTGTTGCAAAATTTACCAATTTCCAACATTTTTCCTTACATATAACTCTACCTTTCTCTTGACCCAATATTTGTACAATGCTTGTGCACCACATGCATACCCAAGTTAGGTAACTCGGGAGCAGATGTCGGATGTGGGTATCTAATTCTAATGTCCAAGGACACCAGAACATGACTAGCTTTATGGTTTTATGTTTTACTTAATAGGGTAAATGGTGTTTACCAATTAACATAAAACATTTATGCACAAAATGGGAGACTGGGAGTATTATGCTTAGTTGTATAGTAAATTCACTACTTGATGGGTGTGTGTCCAACAAGGCATGCAAATGCCTACTAGATACATATCTCACACCCTTACTTGAGTGTCAAGCGTGTCTGACACGGTACTTTATAAATTTAGAAGTGTATGTTACATGGTTTTGGGTAGAACTCCATCTCAAAAGCTAGCAATTAAGGTGAGGGTGCCCTCACATTTATGTACTTGACATGAATGCTATTGATCTGAGGGTTCCCTCACACTTTAAAACTTCGCATTATTGTAGTATCTTCAGATTACATTAGAATAATATTATGAAGTCTCATGGCATGAAGTGGTTATCTATCATGGAGCCTTTTACAGGGACTTTATGCAGCTTCTTTCATTGAGGTTAATGTGGTCCATGTCATCTTATTTGTTCCACTTCCTTTTTCTTTTGCATAACCTGAATGTTTTACTACCTATCGATTTAAGAAACCAATGGCCACATACTTTATGCGACTTGAAATAGACAATGTTGAGTAACGAAGAAAAATTGCCGACGTAGTAGAGGCAGTTATTTAATATATCAATTGCTGAGTGCCTTGTGACAAGATCCAATGAATACTTACTGTCCATTTCTTGTTTATTGTCCATTTAGTTTTTTGGTGCATCCATCTATAGATTTATTTAGTTATTTGTTCCTAATCTTGTCTCAATTTGATTTTCTAGGTTCCTCCTGATGTTAAAGAAGTCTTGGACACTTTCCGTGTTGCTGCTGAGTTGGGAAGTGATTCACTAGGAGCGTATGTGATTTCTATGGCTTCAAATGTATGTGCTATTAGTATCAAATCTATGCTTCCATGGGAGATTTTTCACAATTGGATATTGCACTTGTGCAGTTTCTCAAAAACATTGTCGATTTTCACAGTTTTGTTGTTTCCCCTATGCAATCCACAATAACAATGGTGTATACTTGCTAACTGTCAGGCGAGTGATGTCCTGGCCGTAGAGCTTTTGCAGAAAGATGCTCGTCTTGCTGTTTCTGGGGAGCTAGGCAGACCATGCCCAGGTGGAACGTAAGATTCTACCTCTTCTTACTTATATATTGTTGATGGGATTGTTGTTGTGATTCTAATAGAAGGATATTGTTCTATTTGTTACTAAATGTGATAATTAAGAGTTGATTAGGGTCATGCTGAAATACTTTCTGGGTTTATACTGTGAATTTCTTCATTATTGTTCAGAGGAACAGCCGGGATGGCATACTGAAAGGTGCTAGGAATTGATACACCTAACTAGGATTGGTCAGACGAAACACAGGCAGGGATAAACCAAGAATCAAAATTGAGCACAAAAGAACTCAAAGATTTATGTGATTCAACCCATAATAGGGTTACGTCCGTGATCGCTGTGGTTAGATGATGATTTGAAAATTGTTACAATACAAAACAATACAAGGGAGATGTAGGACTTCAAGTATAAGGGGTTGTTTGGAAAGTGTTAAAACTTAAATTAGTATATTTTTTGACTTCTTATGAAAAAATGTGAAATGTGAGGTAGTATTGTACTGATGTGACAGAGAGGTGATGTAACCCAAATAAGATGACTGTGACCTAAATAAGATAATGTGCTAAAATAGCATGCCAAGCAAACCCTAAATACATAGTAATAGAGCCACATGATAGAACTGTGAAATACCTAAAATATTTCTCTAAAATTTAGGTGGTCAGTGGTCAGTACTTATTAGGATCCGCATTACCTATTAGAAGGAATAATTTTGGGTTCCCTAAATGAGTGGATTAATTAATGATGAATTCATATTTTCTGTAAGAACTTTACACCTGAAGGCACAACTCATTCAGCTGAAACTTCTTGTCACTTGTCCTGGCATATTGCATACCCTATGGGGAAATGAATGAAAAAGATGGAATTTTATATTGAGAACATGGAACAGCCTGCTCAGTTGAAATATAAGGTGTTTCTGCTACTCCTTTAAAATGTTCTGAATCTTGCCAAATTTTTTTTTGTCTTGAAATAGGCTACGGGTGGTTCCTCTGTTTGAAACTGTAAAGGACTTAAGAGAAGCTGGCTCTGCGATCAGGAAATTATTGTCGATTGATTGGTACCTGGAACACATAATTAAGAATCATAACGGGCATCAGGAGGTATTTATCACACACAAAACACATCAAGCTTAGGTTTTAGTTTTATTTTTTATTTTTTATTTTTAAGTATCTATGAGACTTCCAGTGCTTATGAAGTTGTGGACAGGTGATGGTTGGATATTCTGATTCGGGTAAAGACGCTGGCCGATTTACTGCCGCGTGGGAACTATATAAAGCTCAAGAGGATGTTGTAGCTGCATGTAATGAGTATGGTATTAAAGTTACACTGTTCCATGGGCGTGGAGGTAGTGTTGGTCGTGGTGGAGGCCCAACATATCTTGCCATTCAATCGCAACCACCTGGTTCTGTAATGGTAAGTCATCTATTTATTCTCTAGTTGAGACTCTTAGTTCTTTATCCTTTTTATTTAAAATATATATAGTGAAATATATCACTTTGTGTGATAAAACACATTCCCAACTTATATTCATGCATAATCTGAACGGAAAAGTTCATTCCATTTCATTCTGTTGTTGCTTTCAATCTGAGTTCTTTCACACTTTCCAACAAAGGCAATGTGGTCACACTGGTCAGTAACATTTGAGAACTGCCCAACTCTAGTTTGAATTCTTATAAACCAATATGGACTTCCACACATCCTTTTTAAGTTCATGGTTGCAGATGTCTAACATAAGCCCCGAGTGAAAAAGGTACCATACAATTTGAATTGATCGTTTGGTGCTAATGTTATCTTCAAAGTTCCATATAATTCATGGATAAAAACCACTTCCCTAGTCGCAGCGGCTAGATTAACATCAATGTTTTTAGTTTTGCATCCAATGCTAAATACCAAAACAATCAAATGTTTGACATTATTATTAGATTTGTTTTTGTGATCTTTGGCCTATGATTTAATAGTGGCACTGGATTTTTGTTTGAATCATAGGGTACCCTTCGGTCAACCGAACAGGGAGAAATGGTGCAAGCCAAGTTTGGGCTACCACAAACAGCTGTTCGACAACTAGAAATCTACACTACAGCTGTGCTGCTTGCTACCCTACGCCCTCCACTCCCACCTAGAGAGCAAAAATGGCGTAATCTAATGGAGGAGATTTCAAAAATCAGCTGCGACAGTTATCGAAGCACAGTATATGAAAACCCAGAATTCCTAGCTTACTTTCATGAAGCTACCCCACAGGCTGAGCTTGGTTTCCTCAATATAGGAAGCCGGCCCACGAGACGAAAGAGTTCCGGAGGGATCGGACAGCTTCGCGCGATTCCATGGGTATTTGCATGGACCCAAACCCGATTTGTTCTTCCTGCTTGGCTCGGAGTTGGAGCAGGCTTGAAGGGTGTTTGTGAAAAGGGACATACTGAAGAAATAAAAGCAATGTACAAAGAATGGCCTTTCTTTCAATGCACCATAGACCTTATAGAGATGGTTTTGGGAAAAGCTGACATTAATATAGCCAAGCGTTATGATGAAGTTCTTGTCTCCGATAGTAGGCAACAGATTGGTGATGAACTAAGGAGGGAGCTTCTAGCAACAGAGAAGTATGTTTTGGTGGTTACTGGGCATGAGAAATTATCAGAGAATAACAGGAGCTTGCAGAGGCTGATTGAGAGTCGGCTTCCTTATCTCAACCCCATCAATATGTTGCAAGTGGAAATATTGAAGAGATTGAGACGGGACGATGATAACCATAAACTTCGTGATGCATTGCTCATTACTATAAATGGGATTGCGGCTGGGATGAGGAACACTGGTTGAGAATCATAAACCTTTCTCGAGCGACGAGTCTTCGGTTGAAAATTATAGTTCATAAAGCATATATTAGCATATATTTTGGGCTTCTTTTGTTTATGAGTTTATATATCCATGTTATAGGATGTGATGAGAAATTTTACAGATGGTGTGAAGTTAGAATATTGTGGTCACTGCATTGGGATAAGTAATCATATACCCAATGGTCTAAACTTTGTTTGAAGTATAGTACATAAATGGAGTGTTATTTGCAGCTATAAATCCAAGATTGTTGATATGATTATTAGCTAGTCCTTTGAGACTACGTTGATAGCTCCTAAATGTCCAGGGTAGATGGTAACAATCTCAAAATGAGCTGATGTAGTTAAACAAAGACTCTGTCCAATCCAAAAGTAAATAATTCAAGCTTAAATCCTAAGCCCAATTCAAAAATTGAACTAGCTTAAAATATTGATCCAATATATCCTTGTGGCCAATAATATCTTTTCTAAGCCCCAAAAAAATAAGATTGAGCCGGACGGGTAAGTGAGCTGATGTGCACCTCTTATTTTGAAGAAGTGGAGTTGGTGAGAGAAAGTAGAGGGGCTGGGTTAGTGAAGTGAGGGTAGTACGGGAGGAGATAGAGAGCGAAGAAAATAACATTTTGTGATTTTGTTCAATAACAAGGGTATTTTCTTCTAAAAATGGCTCTCTCAATAAAAGCCGCATGATTTCTATGAGCAAGGATCCTCTAAAGTTTTTTTTCCTAAAGTTTCTTAGAGTAGTGTATTGTGTGGTTGAGATTTAATGACAAGTCACATCAATTTTTTAACATTAAATTTCAACCATACAATACACCACTTTAGAAAACTTTAGGAAAAAAACACTCTAGAGGATCCTTGGTGGATTTTTATTTCTAATTTATGCAACAAAAAGTGCAACGTTGTACTTTAATTGAAAAGTCAAAAAATAAAATAAATAAATAATTAAAATAAAATAAAAATTTGTGCATGTAAATTTCAAGATATTCTATTCACATGGACCAAACTATAGTGATAAAATGAAATTCGTTCCTTATTTATTTATAAATTTTTCGAACTTTTAGACCCAATTAGAGGTTTACTCATTTTCTTACCTTGTCAATTATGTTAACTAGTAGTGAAAGTATGATTTTGTCAATTGTTGTTTGATATTTCAATTCAATGCTTAAAATTGAATAATTTTAGTAAAAATAAGTTAAATTTATTTAATAATAACAATTCTTATTATTTAAAATTTTAAACAATTTTTTTAAGGGAGTCGCTATTCACACTCTACTTTATTTCAAATACTCTTCTTTTTTCGTCTTTTATAATACATAATTACATTGATACCATTTCACACAAAATACACATTGAAAAAATCAAAATTCCAAGGATATTAATGTAACTATGTTGTACAAAAAGGACAATATAAGGAGTGTATTTGGTGTAAAGTTGAGTGAGGATAGCAGCTTCCTTTCTTAATAGTTAAAAATTTTCAATTATAAATTTCTTAATTAATTCTAAAGATTGAAGACTGGGTTTTTTAATATTTTATGATTGTACTACTATTAAAGTGTAATGCCATCACCCGACCATTGTCACCAATATTATCCTACCGTCACTATCACCAACACCACAGTCACTATTTACATGACCCATTTACCTCTACCAACACAATCGCCACAACTGTTTTATCACTAAGACAACATTACTATTGTCACTGGCAATGTTACCGTTATTGTCACCACTAGCGATCCACCACCATCATCGCTACCATCACATCCACTATACAACCACCATCGGTACTGGCACCACTACCATTACAATGTTGCCACTTCATTGTCCCTCCACCACCACGCGACAATTGTATCCTACACAACCATCACCACAATAACCACTATTATCACCATTATCACTCTACTACCACTACCTTTATCAATTCTATGGTACCTCACACAATCACTACCTTACTACCACAATAGTCATGCCATTACTAAACTAATATCTTACCACCGCACAAATATTGGCATTATGACTATCAGTCGAACTCTACCACATTATCACTATTATCACCACCACCATGTAACTATTGAACCACCACCACAATATAAAGAGTGCAAGAATTTTTTTTTAATTAAAAAAAATTGGGTAAATTAGAAATACACTCCCTGAGATTTGATTAAAATACGAATCACCTCCCGTGATTTTAGAAATTACATTCCACCCTTTAAGATTTTTAATTTCGTAACAAATTGTCCCTTTTATTAATAAATCATCAAATCAATTAATAGTTTTTAATGATGTAAGAAATATGTTTCAATTAATAATTTAGGTAATTTTATTATTGTATTAGAGAGCAATTATGAACTTCATTTTTTAATTAATTATGTTAAATAAAAAATTCTGACAATGGGATATTTGTAATTTTCGAAATCATAGAGGGCAATCTATACTTTAAACAAACCTTAGGAGGTGTATTTGTAATTTATCCAAAAAAAAATATGTATCAAACAACTTAATTGAATTAAGTATCCAAATTTTAATAGATGTCAAATAGTTTTTTAAATTAAATAAAAGCAACATTCAATTTTAATATTTAGTATTTAATTTTTAACTTTATCAAATAACAGCAAAGAATATTCTGGGTCTAGGGCTACCCTGCATTATGTATGGCCCAAAATAAATATAGGCTTGACCACAACCGCATTGGAATTTGGCACCCATTGGGTGTTGTTGCACCGAACACAGAAGAAAGTCACACTTCTTTTACCTAATGGAGAGCTGGCCATCAACCCAAAGAAAAATGCTTGGGAGCACTAATTAGTGCTTCCACTAATTAGGTGGTAGTGGGTCTCGTCATTAATGATGTGATATTTTGGTTTTGGAGTTGTATTTTTTTTTTTATTTTTTTTATTTTTTTAATGCATTAGTGCTATTAGTGGTGATGTTTTTAGTGGGATGAATCATTGTTGGTAGTTGGACAACCAAAAGTCAGTGTAATACTAAAGTTATCTGTTAGAGCCTGCTCGAGATAACCATATATATATATATATACATATTTTGTGGTCGATTTTCTACGGTTTATATTCTGAATATGGTGATCATTATAATTTAAAATGTGATTACTATAGCTATGGTGATCATTATAATTTAAAATGTGATTACTATGGCTCCATAAAAAAAATGAAGGCAAAACTACACCAAAATACACACAAAAAAGGAAGATAATGAAGGTAGACACACAAATGAGAGAAGAGAGAAATGATGTTAAATTTACAAAAGAAAATCTTAACAAAATTAAATATTTAAAGTGACAAATCACAAGGACTTTTTTGAAAAAAAGAAAATAAAATAAAACAAAGAAGTATAACAACTTAATGGGTATACTTAAAACTTTAAACAAGTGAATTGAAAAAAAAAATAATTAAAAAGAAATGTATACTTTTTTAAAATTTGAGGAGGAGCACATGCTCGTCTAGGTCCTAACGTAGCTCCACCATTAGGCCTAGGAACTACGAGTGGATGAAACTTTAACCATTAGTTCATCCTTGTAGGTTCAAATGCATTACTTCTCATAGTCATAAATTTTGACCAACTAGCACAACCTGATTATTTGGAAATTAAACTAAAATAAATATCATTAGCTATAAAATAACAGAGTCATCAATATTAGGTCCCGAAAACATACGATGGAAAGCACACAGCTTGAAATGTATGTATGAGATTCATTCTGGTATGACTCACATTACATGAGTTAAAATTTACAGAATAAATTTAAATTTTGAATACTTTTTTTAATATATATATTATACTGATTTTTATCAATCAAGAAAATTGTTAATGGATGATATTTTCAATCCCTTCCACCAAAAATGGAATCTGATGTGTTATGATCTGTTAGCTTGTGTTGTACTACATTTTTTCTTTTTCTTTTTCTTTTTTTTTCTTTTTTCCTTTTTGAAAAATTTCTTTTGTTTTTGATTTTATAAGATGCCATTTGTTCTTAAAAAGATATACCATCCCTGAAAATATGGGAAAGTGAGGTTCAATCAACATGTCCCAAAACACATCATATAATTGAGACTACCCTTTGTTGATAGTGCTATCCAGCTTATTCTACTGCATCCGTCCCAAAATAATAGTCTCTTTTGAAAGATTTAACTTTTTCTGATAGTACAATTATTGTACTTTAAAAATATTGATTTTTCAAATTTATCCTTTAATAGTATATTTTTTGAGAAATATCAATTGTCATAATTGTACTTTTTGTGATGTTAATGAATTTAAAAGAAGGGCAAAATAAAAAATTCACATTATTTTAGTTCTTGATTTTTGAAAATAAACTAATATTTTGGGATAATGAAAATTAAAATAAGAAACTAATATTTTAAAACGGAGAGAGTATTTTACATTTATTTTTTGAATCTTAATTGTAAATTCTCTGTATGCACATTTCCATGGTGGTTCTCATTAGTTTGATGCTTGCAGTACTTGGGCTATTTTCTTTGTTCTCTAGAGTGGGGGAAAGTCACTTCATTTCTTCTTTTTATTGGATTCTTATTTCCAATAACTACCTCATGATAAGTCATGACATTCTATCAATCATCTCAATTAAATTTATTCATTCATTGGGCTGGTGCGGTGTTGCCTAACTTGTGTTTTTCAGTGATTAACCGACATTGAATATTATGTGTACTGAAATCTAACTGAGATCCTCTTTTTAATTATTTGGGAACAATGTTTGCAAGACATATGTTAGTACTTATTCCAGTTGGTTGTTAATCAGGAGGGTAATGTCGCCTTCTAAAAATTCTCTTCTTTATTAATGTTAATACTTTTCATCTAAGAAACATCTTATATAGAATTCTTCTATCCTAATTGGGTTAGGATAAATCTCTCCAAAAAGCCTAAGTGCACCCAAACTAAAAGTTACACTTTCACTGAGACTTAACCTTTTATCTTAATTAGCACATCACCTGTGTTATGCACATGTTAAAAAATTAATTTTAAAATTAAATAGTAATATAAAATTTATTTAAAATATGTAGTAAACATGATTTAGAATCAATTAAATTTTATTCGTTTTTATTAGAGTTACACATAAGAGGAATTTTTTTTTTTTTGTTATTCTTGTGTCATTATATGTCGTTCACTGTACATTTTAAATTTTCAATAAGAAATATATGTCATAATTTAATTGGTAAAGATAAAAAATTTCAAATATTTTTATTTCATTCATTTTTTTTATTTCTATATTTTTAAATTACAAATAA